TCAAAACAGTCTTGAGAATAAAGAACAAACCTGGAGGTATCACCCTCTCAGACTTCAGACTGTGCTACAAAGCTACACTAATCAAAACAGCATGGTACTGACATGAAAACAGACATATAGATCAATGGAACAGAATAAAGAGCTGAGAAGTAAACCCGCACATTTATGGTCAATTAATTTATGACAAAGGAGACAATATACAGTGGAGAAAAGACAGTCTCTTCAATAAGTGGTGCTTGGAAAACTGGACAGCTACATGTAAAAGAGTGAGATTAGAACATTTCCTCACACTATATGCAAAAATAATGTCAAAATGGATTAAAGACCTAAATCCTGTAGACCATAAAATTCATTGAAGAGAACATAGGCAGAACACTGTTTGATGTAAGTCATAGAAATCTTTTTTTTGGATCTGTCTCCTGAGGCAAAAGAAATAAAAGCAAATATAATCAAGTGGAACCTAATTAAACCTAAAAGCTTTTGCACAGCAAAGGAAACCAGTGACAAAACAAAAAGACATTCTACCGAATGGGATAAAATATCTGCAAATGATATGACTGATGAGGGGTTAATAATGAAAACATATAAACAGCTTATCCAACTCAATATCACAAACCAAACAACCCAATTAAAAAATGGGCAGAAGACCTGAATAGACATTTTTCCAAAGAAGATATACAGATGGCTAACCAGCATATGAAAAAAATGCTCAACATCACTAATTATTAGAGAAATAGAAATCAGAACAACAATGATAGATCACCTCACACCAGTCAGGATGGCCATCACCTAAAAGTCCACAAATAACACACGTTGGTGAGGATGTGGGCAAAAAGGAACCCTCCTACACTGTTGGTGGGAATGTAAACTGGTGCAGCTATTATGGAGAACAGTATGGAGGTTCCTAAAAAAACAAAAAATAGAACCACCATATCGTCCAGCAATTCCACTCCTGGCTGTATATCCAGAAAAAACAAAACCACTAATTAGAAAAGATACCCACACCCCAATGTTCATAACAGCACTGTTTACAGTAGCCAAGACATGGAAGCAACCCGAGTGTCCATCAACAGATGAATGGATAAAGAATTGGTACATATATATAATGGAATATTACTCAGCCATAAAAATGAATGAAATTCTGCCATTTGCAGCAATGTGTTTGTACCTAGAGAATGTTATGCTTAATGAAATAGGTCAGACGGAGAAAGACAAATACTGTATGATATATGTGGAATCTAAAAAATAAAAGAAAAAAAGCAGACTCACTGCCATAGAAAACAAACTACTGGTAACCAGTGGGGAGAGGAAAGCAGGGAGGGTCAGAGTAGGGGATTAAGAGATGCAAATTATTTTGTATGAAATAGATAAGCAACAAGGATATATTGTACAGCAATTATATTGTACAGAAATTATAGCCATTATCTTGTAATAACTTTTAATGGAGTGAAATCTGTAAAAATACTGAATCACTATGCTGTATACCTGGAACTAATATACTGTAAATCAACTATACTTAAAAAAAAATGTTTGAAGGACTTAGCCTCGTCTGGAGAGGCGGTGAATATTCCCGCTGGGCGTGATGTTTGCATTGAGTCTGGAACGATGAATAGGAACGTCAAGCGAAGGAAAGTGGGAGGGGTGACAGGCAGAGGGGGCAAAGGCGTGTGAGTGAGGAGACTTATGAGAGAAGAGCCTAGACAGAGATTGGATGATAGCACTGAGGACTTCAGAGGAGAAGATGGTTTGATGGACGGAAGGGGAGACAGAAGGATAGGCTTTCAAACATGTAAGCATGAAGACAGAGGCAGAATCAGAGAGGACAGCCTGGCTGAGAAGACGCCGGGGAGGAGCGACACAAGAAACCCAGAAGCAAAGAGCTGGGAGATGCCTCATTCTGAATGGGGTTGTTCCAGCGGTCTAGGAAGTAGAGGGTCCCAGCCCAACGTGGGTGGCCAGTGGTGCACCATGGCGGACTGCTAAGGCAGAGACTGGAAGGTGGGTGCTGGCTTTGCCGGCAGACGCCGTGGAGTGCTGAGCAGAGCGGTAGTGTGGAAGAAAGTGAGCGGTGGTTGAGGACCACTGATAGTTGAGAAAATGGGAAGAGAGAGGGTGATTACTTGAGGAATAGTAATTCTCCTCCCTGGAGGCAGTGGGGTGAAACTGCTGGGGTGAGTGAAACGGTCATGACTTGTATCCGTGCCAGAGACCCGTCCACTTCCGAGGACTACCAACTCTTCCTCTCACTGACCTTCTGTTTCCTCCCTAGTTTTAAAAAAATATACTTCACATACAGTGAAATTCACCCCTTTTAAAAGGTGTGCGGTTCTCAGAGTTTTGACAAATGAGTGTGTTACGTAACCACCACCACAATCAAGATGTGGGATAGCTCCATCACCTCGGAAAACTCCCCCGTGCACCCCTGTAGACAGCCCCTGCCCCTGCCGTCACTGCTCTGTCACCTGTCCCTAGAGCACCTACTAAGTGTGAGAGCAGCACACACACACTTTGGGATTTTTAGTTGTCACATATTAGAATTAATAATTGGATGCACTTAATCTGGGCTCTCAGTTTTATCCTGAAAAGGGGTTTTGTTTGTTTGTTCACTATTTCTCCCTAAAATAATTTGAAGCTCTTTTGATTTATGTCACGGGTTTCATCAGATGCCTAACAAGGAACCGATTTGAGCATTTTTTGCCAGTCACTTTTTTTTTTTCTTTTTAACATCTTTATTGGAGTATAATTGCTTTATAATGTTGTGTTAGTTTCTGCTGTATAACAAGGTGAATCAGCTGTACATACACATAATCCCCCTATCCCTTCCCTCTTGCGTCTCCCTCCCTCCCATCCTCCCTATCCCACCCCTCTAGGTGGTCACAAAGCACCAGCTGATCTCCCTGTGCTATGCGGCTGCTTCCCACTAGCTATCTATTTTACGTTTGGTAGTGTATATATGTCCATGACACTCTCTCACTTCGTCCGGTAACTTCTTGAAGTGGGTTCTTAAATGTATCAAGCTGATGATAAATAACCCCTCGGGGTAAATAACTCTTTTTTTTCAATGTATGCTTAATTTCACTGGAGTCCTACAGGTTTGTAATAGTTAACCAGACTGTTACCAGAGTTATCCATGAAAAACAAAGGCTCGTTTCCTATCATACGAGTCTAGAACTAAGTCAGTACTTCACCTTTTAGTCCCTAAAAGAGTCGACTTGCTCTTCTAGCCCTGCCTGGCCTAAGAGGGAAATTATGTCAGTATTTATCTCGTTTGGTTGCAAGAAGTAAAACGTAAATGATCTGCTTTTAAGATGTAGCCAGTATTCATTAGCGGCTTTCGGTAATATTTCCCTTGAGTGATACAAGTACCATGGCTCTTTGTTGAACTTCACCTGTTTTCCACATTCTGAATAACCTTCTCTATTCCTTCAGAAATTACTGTGGCAGAAAATGTTAGCATAACCCAAAGCCTTTGGAACACCTATGGCTTTTCTTTCAAGCTTACACACGTTTGATATAGTATGTTTCTCTTTAACTGAAAACTGTTAAGTCAGAAAGATTGGCCAGAACCACTAAGGTGACATTGAAAAGGGATAGAAGCAGTTTTGCCTGTGGGGTGAAAAAAATCAATGTTTTAAGTGTACATCTTGGAGAACGGCCCAGGCAGAAGCTCAATAGGAAATGAGTGAATACCACCAGGGGCTTTGCATGGACCACTTGCTCTGCACGGATTACTGGTGTGAAGGGTTCGAATAAACGTTTGGCTGACTGCACCCTCTGTTCTGTATGGGTCGGACCACACCTGAGTGTTCAGTTTGGGTCCTTACAGAAGACAACACTTACAAAGTCTGGTTGCAGTGAAGCATGTTTACTTCTTTTAGCAGCGCTCACTCACGTGTCCAGAAGGGATTCTCACAAAGCAGTGAGCCTGCTGTCACTGGCAGCGCTCAGACTAGAACGCGTGCTTCGTGAGCGGGGAGTTTTTCTGGATTATGACCCCGCTCCTGAGCCAGTGCCTGGCGCACACTTGTGGAGTGTGTAAATAAAAGCCTAACGACCGTCTCTTAGGAAGAATGTCCTCGGGGTCCCTGTGCTAGGTGGACAGGAGGGCCCCAGAGTGCATTCCTCTGGTGAGATTGTGTGTGTTTAGATCTCTATGGGACCCTGACTTTATGTGAAAGAAATGATGAGCTGATAACATCGTAAACTAAGTTGTGGTATTTTAGGAGATATAATTTGGACTCAGCAGCTCAATGACCTTTCATCCATTTTTTGTCCGCTGATCCACTTTCCTTTAGACTCTCAGGTGCTTTCGTGACGTCATCGTGACAGGGTGGTCTTTGCCGCTGCCCTGTTCTCCGAGATGAATCCGGCTCTTCTGAGTGGCTGATAAGCTCACCTCCACTGCCTTTAATCAGTCAGAGGAGGTGACCTTCCCAGCTGGAGGCAAACTGTTCAGGCTCGGTTCTTCAAGTTGCCACGTTCCTTTTTTAACAGTTTCTAAGATGGCAAAACGCTTTCCAGTGATGCCAAACTCAACTTTGGGGCTCCTGAGCAGCTTATGAACTAGTGAGAAGCAGAATGGGAGGATGAAGTAGTAGAAAATGACAGGTTAAAAGTGCATCTGGGGCTTCCCCGGTGGCGCAGTGGTTGGGAGTCCGCCTGCCGATGCAGGGGACGTGGGTTCGTGCCCCGGTCTGGGAAGATCCCACATGCCGCAGAGCGGCTGGGCCCGTGAGCCACGGCCACTGGGCCTGTGCGTCCGGAGCCTGTGCTCCGCAACGGGAGAGGCCACAGCAGTGAGAGGCCCGCGTACCGCAAAAAAAAAAAAAAAAAAAAAAAAAAAAGTGCATCTGATTTGGAGGCAAATAAATGGATCACATCTGGGGGAATCCTGCACCAGAGCCACTGGTACCTCTTCAAGGATTAGATACACACGCTGAAAGATACCCACCCTGTTCTTTGTTCCCTTCTCCTCATGCCACTGCTCTCTTCCATTGCAGAGCACCAGAACTACTTTGGAATCGATGAGAACCTCGGCCCTGTGGCAGTCAGCATCCGGAGGGAGAAGGTGGAAGACCCCAAGGAGAAAGAAGGGTCCCAGTTCAACTACCGGGTAGCTTTCAGGACGAGCGAGGTACTGGGCGCTCATGGGGTGTGTCCTGGGCTGGGCCTCAGGGTCACCGCTTGGTTAAGGTGTTGCTTTCATTGTCAGTGCTGTGATCCCAGCAGCTCCGGTGACCAAAAGGGCTTAGACCGTTTTGTTCAAAGTAGAAAATGTGAAGACCTGTGGTGGATGTGGCAGTGATTTGACTGTCACCTTACATGACAGAAAGGATAAAATGATCAAAATGCAAGGTTTTCGGGCCTGGAGCAGAGGACAAACTTGAACTCTATGATTCATGTCAGAATTGAAGGACTACTTCAGCGTCGATTGCAGAAAACCAGGAGGCCGCCCGTGGGGTGGGTGTTGGCTTAGCGTGTCTGTAGGTGCAGCAGCTCCGTGGCCCTGCACTTCGTCCCGCCAGCGCCCAGGCTACTTCCCCGCTGGTCTTGCTTTGGGTGAAAAGTGCGACTGTTATACACCATATGGCCGATGCGTGGAGCCCTGTAGGCGGGGATGTTGATTTATATGAAGAACTAGATCTGGCCTGCACTCCAGGTTTTATCCTCTTGACCATTGTAATTAGGTGGGAATGTGTCGTCCACACAGTCCAGAATGTGATCCCTTCTGGATCAGAGTACAGAGAGCCCCTCGCCGGCCCTGCCCAAGCCTGGCACTTTGGTGCCCACTGCCTGTGCATCGGTGCTCCCGTGAACTGGGCTCTGTGCCGTAAAGAGGAAAGGAAGCCCTCTCTGGAGGTGACATATTGTAAGTTACGGACCTGCAGCGTCCCGTTCAGTAGCCACTAACCACGTGTGACTATTTAAATTTAAGGTAATTGAATAAAATAAAAAATGTGGTTCCGCGGTCACACCTGTCACCCGTGGTTCCGTCACACCTGTCACGGGTCAGGCGCTCCGCAGCCACTCGGGGCTGGTGGCTCCCGTATCAGCCAGTGCAGATGGAGGGCGGTCTCATCACCGCAGAAAGCCCTGTTGCACAGCGGTGCCCCGGAGCTCTGTGCAAATGCTAGGCGCCGTTGTTACCACGTCACTACGGCTGCTTTGTCGGAGGGGTGGGATTAGAGCCAGACCTCTCAGCTGGCCGTGCTGGGCCTCCTCTCTCCGCATATTTGACCTGGGCTTAGATGACACGTGTCAGAATAGTGGCTCCAGGCTTTCACGACGTGTTTGAGGACATATCACAGATCAGGAGGCAGAGTCCGGTGGTGGTCTTCCCAGCCCTGGGTCACCTGCCCACGGGGGTCACGGGATCGCCCCACTCAGCCTTGGGAATTGCCAGCCATGGAAGGTTAAATAGGAAAAGTGGAAGAAAAGAAGATGATGTAGAGAAAAATGGGAAAAAGAAAACGGAAGGATGGAGGAGGTCATTGTGGCTAGCCCGGCCCTAGGACCCCCGGCTCGTCCTTGGCATCCCTCTGGTGTCGGTTCCGATCGTGGTGGGAGTGACTTAACGTCCCCGGGCGGGGCTTTGTCTCACTCCTCCTCGTGTTTCACGCACATCTGGTTATATCAGCCACGCCTGGCTCCTTCCTGACCCACGAGTCCTTCGGTTGTTTAAAGACTGACTGTTGAGTGTTGAATTTGCTTTTTCAGATCGAGAACTTTTAGCCTCTTTTGCCCCACTCCAAAAAGAGCCTTAGCTTTCTTCCTCCTTTTTTTTTTTTACATCTTTATTGGAGTATAATTGCTTTACAATGATGTGTTAGTTTCTGCTTTATAACAAAGTGAATCAGTTATACATATACATATGTCCCCATATCTCTTCCCTCTTGCGTCTCCCTCCCTCCCACCCTCCCTATCCCACCCCTCTAGGCGGTCACAAAGCACCGAGCTCTTCTCCCTGTGCTATGCGGCTGCTTCCCACTAGCTATCTACCTTACGTTTGGTACTGTATATATGTCCATGCCTCTCTCTCGCTTTGTCCCAGCTTACCCTTCCCCCTCCCCATATCCTCAAGTCCATTCTCTCTTCCTCTTTTTTTAAGGCAACTAAAAAGTTACGCTTTAAAGAGGTAACCAGGAATAAGTGTTAACTGGAATGCTGTATTCGCCCCTGCAGCTGACAACCCTGAGAGGAGCGATCTTGGAAGATGCCATACCCTCTACCGCCAGGCATGGGACTGCGCGGGGACTCCCTCTCAAAGAAGTCCTGGAGTGCGTCATTCCAGAGCTGAGCATCCAGTGCCTGAGGCAGGCCTCGAGCTCGCCCAAGGTCTCAGAGCAGCTGCTCAAGCTTGATGAGCAAGGGGTGTGTATCACGTGGGAGACTGTAAGTGTGCGGGACTTTGTGTCCATGTTTCTGAATGTTTTGGAGTTTTCCCATCCATCTGCCTTTGGAGATCATTTATTTTTAATGCCTTAAAGCATTTTCCTCCAGTTTTTCTTGAATATGCCTCTATACTAGTTAAGTAACATGATGCCTTTAACAATAAGTGCAATGCACCTCCTGCTGAGTTGTGACTTGCATTGTTTTTACCAGGGTTTTGGTATGTCCCAGCCAGCAGGAGCAGATATGATTCATGACTATTAGAGACTGCTGGTGTATTTTCCCAGGGTGTAAAGAGCTCACATTGGGCCTTTCCCTGAACTAACGTTTATTCTTGTCTGCTATGTGCAAAGTGTCATGCTGACAGATGGCAGTGAACAGCACGTATCCGGAGGCTTGAAGCTAAGACTTGGTCCCTACCCTTGGGGCCATTAAGATGAAGAACGCCATGGCCGTTAGTGTGGTCATGGGTCATGGAGACATAGAAATGCAGTGTGTGCTCTGGGAAAAGAGAAAGTAACATCTGAAGGAGGTGGTGTTGTAACTGGGCCTTTAGACTTGAGTAGAATTCCAACAGGGAGATACGAGCAGTTGGCTCTTTTAGAAACTATGGCCAGTTTCTTTACAAGAGAAGGGCACACGCAGAGAGGTTAGGAGTTAAAACAACAACAGTTACGAAATATCTTGAGGCTGGAGTGAATGCTGGGCTAAGGAGTTAGCACTGGATCCAGGAGGTGGTAGGGAACATTGAAGGTTTGCCGGTAGGATGTGACATGCTCGTAGCCATAATTTAGGACGATTATTCTGGTAGAAGCGTACTGGACAGGCTGGTGAAGGTAGAGCCTGATGATGGCCTGGAGCTCAATTATGTGATCATTAATAGCATCCGGGAGAGAATTAATGATGGACAGGATTTAGGTGGTGGCCCAGAAGATGGAAAGAAGCCTTTTAACTTCAGATGCAAGATAATTTGGAGGCGAAACTGAGTGGTCGGTGCCCAAGGTATGCAATTTATTTTAAATGTGTGGATTTGTTTTTAAATACATGCTTTGCAGAAAGAAAAAGACAATTGTGATGTCTTTCCAGAACGTTCCAAGGACAATTCTTTCTCATGTTTTGGAGGGAGTATGTGGGATTTCTTGGTGGACCCAGTAACACACTCCCTGTGGTATATTGGTGGAGTATTTGATACTCAGATGGCTGGAATTCTAAGAGCTGAAGTTGTAATTGCGCTAGCAAATTAACACTGCATTCTCAGCCAGAGGAAGCAGGCACTGTGACATTCAGAGTGGATAATCCTGCAGTCTGTCTTTCTCAAGAATGAAGGCTGATCTATTAAAAACAACAACTAAACCAAACCAAAACTTGAACTTGAACAATTGGCTTCTAAAATCCCACAGAAGAGTTCATCATGGTCATCGCTGGTAAAGTGCTCTGAGAATGGTCATGTCATGAGGCAGTTGAGGAAATCCTGTTGTCATGGAGGGACAGAGCGGGTGTGTCGCTGCTGGTCCAGGGACTCAGAGTTCAGGAGGGCTTGGTGGGAAGGACAGCATTTGTCACCGAACCAAACCTGAGTCCACTCACCTGCAGGTAGGTGCAGTAAAGTCAATCTCCTGACACCGGGTTTGGGTGAAGGAAAGTGCAGCGTTTATTGTAAAGTCACCAGTCCAGGGAGAATGGGTGGCTTGTGCTTGAAAACCCCAAACTCCCCGAAGGGTTTCAGCAGAGCAATTTTTTTTTCTTTTTTAACATCTTTATTGGAGTATAATTGCTTTACAATGGTGTGTTAGTTTCTGCTGTATAACAAAGTGAATCAGCTATACGTATACATATATCCCCATATCCCCTCCCTCTTGCGTCTCCCTCCCACCCCTCTGGATGGTCGCAGAGTACTGAGCTGATCTCCTGTGCTATGCGGCTGCTTCCCACTAGCTATCTATTTTATATTTGGTAGTGTATATATAAGTCCATGCCACTCTCTCACTTCGTCCCAGCTTACCCTTCCCCCTCACTGTGTCCTCAAGTCCATTCCCTACATCTGCGTCTTTATTCCTGTCCTGCCCCTAGGTTCTTCAGAAGCATTTTTTTCTAGATTCCATATATATATATGTTAGCGTACGGTATTTGTTTTTCCCTTTCTGACTTACTTCACTCTGTATGAAAGACGCTAGGTCCGTCCACCTCACTACAAATAACTCAGTTTTGTTTCTTTTTATGGCTGAGTAATATTCCATTGTATATATGGGCCACGTCTTATTTATCCATTTGTCTGTCAGTGGACACTTAGGTTGCTTCCATGTCCTGGCTATTGTAAATAGAGCTGCAGTGAACATTGTGGTACATGACTCTTTTTGAATTATACTTTTCTCAGGGTATATGCCCAGTAGTGGGATTGCTGGGTCTATGGTAGTTCTATTTTTAGCTTTTTAAGGAACCTCCATACTGTTCTCCATAGTGGCTGTATCAGTTTACATTCCCACCAGCAGTGCAAGAGGGTTCCCTTTTCTCCACACCCTCTCCAGCACTTATTGTTTGTAGATTTTTTGATGATGGCCATTCTGACCGCTGTGAGGTGATACCTCATTGCAGTTTTGATCAGCAGAGCAATTTTAAAGGCCAGGTGAGGGAGGGGAACCCCAGGGTCTGTGATCAGCTCGTGCACAGTTCTCTGATTGGCTGATGGTGGTCAGTCCTTAGGCACCAGAAGGTCTGGGAGCTACATGCTCATGATCATCAAGTAATTTCTTTCATTTGGGGGTGGTTTTAGCATCTGAAAAACAACTCAGGAAATAGGCGTCAGATACTGTTATCTGGTCTATTATCTGGGTACTTCAGAGAGCAGCTACAGCAGAGGGTATGGGGGAGGGGTCTGTCCTGGGAAGGCCCCGTAGGGTCCTGCTCTGTTACACATTCACTTCCGTGTCGTGGAAGAGTCCGGAAGAGAGGTGCCGACCCCCGTGGTCTTCATCCCTTTATGTTTCTGGTGTGTGTTGCTTCTCCCTTGATTACACGTCCCTCACCTGCTGGGTAGCAGGTGCCTGGCGGATGAGGTGCTTGGTCCCTCAGCCTGCTGTGGAGGAGTCCACAGGTGGCCCTGTGTTCCCCAGCCTGGATCCTGACGCCCAAGCCCTGAGAGACGTTACAGCAGCCGCAGGTGACTGTCTCCTCACAGAATGAAGCATGCACTTCTTGGAATGTCCGTCCGGCAGAATAGGTCCAGGAGCTACGCCGGTGGGAGGCAGTGAAGGTCATAAAAATGGCTCTGCCAGGGAATTTCTCTTAAACTAAGCCTTCAGGTACTTTGAATGGACACCTGTTTACAATCGGACGTCAATGAATTAATTTTGAGAACTGGGTGCTTGTTTTAGAGCTCTAGCTGTATTCATGTGTTTTTTCTTTTGAGATTATATTTATTTGACTCTGGTATACTTTCATAATGGTGTACAATATGACATTTTAACGCCCCCCAACTCCTAGTGGTATCTAATTTCCATATTACATCAGCAAGAGCTACTTACTATGTATGCTCATCTCTGAAAGATAGTAGACAGCTTTTCTAACATCCTGGTTTCCAAAGGATCCTTAAAAGTTGCCCTAACCTGTCTGGGTGTTGTGAGTCACTTCTGGGTAGTGCTTGTCTTTATCTACTTTCCTGATAGAAAATCTTCCCAGGGAGGGGATGGGCCAGTTTTATGTTGCTGATCTTAAGGGGTTTTAATCTTGAAAAAATACTTTAAAGGACATATTGTCGTTTTCTGCTTTCTTGGAGTTTGGGATCCATTCCTGGTTTGACAGTCACTGTGTTTATCTGCTCTGCGCAAGACATGTTGTATCAGTGGGAGATATGGTGGGTATCGGGTCATTCATTCCGTTCTTTACTTTTGGTAAGATGTTTTGAACAGGAAGACTCCATGCCATGGAGAATCATAAGGGAAGTAATTATCAATCAGGACTTTGAAAGTTTTGCTACTTTATCTACATAAATTCACCTCCCAACCTCTAAGATACCATTTTTCCTTTTTTATAGGACTATCCTAGTTTGTATAACAGGTGAATTCCTAAGATTATGTACGTTGACTTTTTTTTTTTTTAATTGAAGTGTGGTCGATCTACAATGTGTCAGTTTCAGGTGTACAGTAAAGTGATTCAGTTATGCATAGATATGTATTCCTTTTCAGATTCTTTTCCATTTAGGTTATTACAGTATATTGAATATAGTTCCCTGTGTTTATTTTATATATAGTAGTGTGTATCTGTTAATCCCAAACTCCTAATTTATCTTTACCCACTAGGTTGACTTCTTAAAAAATTAATTCAGATACATTATGACAGCTCACTAACTTAGAATATTAGAGCATCTTTGGATTAATTTGTTCACAAGCCAATCACCCCTTCTGCTCTTGTCTCCTCACCCAGATGTATGTTCACTCACATACCAGGTTTACTTGACACGAAGTCAAGCGGGTCTAAATCCATGATACTACACGCTTAGAGCAGGTGGTTGAGTGGGAGGATGCAGTGGAAGGACTTTCCTGCACACCTGAATTTATTTTCAAGGCCATTCTGAGGCTCTGTTTTCTGTCACCTTCCTTTAAATTTAAATTTCTCGTCAATAATGACGGGGCTTCTGGCCTTTGGAACAGAGCACTCAGTTTTTATCCAGTCCCAGGAGGCAAGGGATCGTCTGCCTGTCCGTGCAGGGTCTGTGTGTCCAGCTCTGGGCACGGGAGCAGTATAGAGTTTGGGCAAGTGGGTGTTTTTAGTTTTTGACCGTGGGGACGCCCAAGTGCCGGCCTCATTCACCCCAGGACAGTGGAACTGGCTGTGATTCGCATCAGAACAGTTAAAGGAAGGTCAGTGGGATGGGGGCGTGGTTAGCCCCAGCCTGAGGTGTAGAGGGCTTAGAAACAGAGCCTTGTTCCGAGAGAATTGGGGGTTTTAGTTCATGGGGACCTGGAGTCTGTCCTCCCCTTGGTACCGCGATCAGGCTGAAGAGGTGTGCAAGCTTTCTGGTGAACCACGGGCAGGAGGGGGTCAGCCTTGGTGTTGCATTTCCATTGATTTCATGCGGTTTATAAGAGATTGGAGCGAGAGAGGTCTCTTCCTTCACACCGTGTCTCATCCTCTTACTGTTTTAGTGGAATCACAGGCCTCGTAGTAAACAGGCCACAGTGGTTTATTCTCAGTCGCTGGAGCAGAGCTCTAGGAGCTGGGGCAAGACACCTGGGGGCTTTGAAGTCTAATTTAGCCCCACCCCCGATTCCCATGGGCCCAGGGCTGTTTGGGTAGAAAGCAAGTCCTGTTCCCAGCGGGGATGTAGACACAGGCTGGTCTGCGATGGCTGGAAGGAGAGGGGTGTGAGCGGATGGTACCGCGCTCAGCAGGGAAGCCCCGGGGGCTTCAGCTCTCCAGGTATTTGGCCTTTGCCTGAGTCCACAGGGAGCATCAGGTCCGCAAGAGTCAGGAATCAGAGAGAACCTGTGCTGGTCCGGGGAGGCTCTGCTCCACCCGCATGGGGCCGCCGCGGCCCCACCCCTGGGGCCCCAGACAGCTTTGCTCCGGGCCTGCTCCACAAAGAGGCAGAGGAAGGGTTTCCTGCTGGGGATGGCGGGGCTGCCTGGGACAAGCTGCAGGTGTGGCAGGGGCGCGACGTGAGGTGGCACCAGGAGAGGTGGCAGGGCTCTAGGGGGGGCGGCAGGCAGGGGGACAGACAGGGTGGCAGCCCTGGGACAGTGAGCTCCCAGGATGCGGGTGGTGGTACGGCCGCCCCTGCTGGCTGCGGAGGATGTGTGGGCGGGGGCCCGTGGGGCCCTGGGTACCGGTGCCTGCTGATCACTCCACAGGATCTCTGGGGGACTATCCACGAGGCCAGGGCCGGACAGCTGGGGAGAGCGGGAATCCGCTTCTGACAGCAGGCGGGAGGTCCAAGCATCACGGTGCCGGGAGGTACAGCAGTCCCGTAGAGGTCCCGTTAGGGGATTTGTCCAGTTCTGGCAGTCACCAAGGCGATCCACATCTGTGGTGACAATTGCCAATCCCAAGTGTTTCCTAAAGTACTCTAAGATCCTGCAGTGTCTTCTGGGTCCCTCAGAACAATTAGTGTTCTGAAACAATTGGTGAAATAATATGAGACATTTGTATTCTACTTCGTGTTTTTGGAGGATGATGGTCTGTTTGCAGTAAGTGTGGTGTCTCATTTATTTGGATAGTTGAGTTGATCAGAAACATTTATTCCTCAATCCCTGGGCAAATAGAAATGATTTTTCTGTCTTGACGCCGCTCAAGGACTAGTACCGCACAGCTCATAACACTAACAGCTTACGGCCAGCATCTCATAGCCCCACATTCAGGGCCTGGATCCTTGTCTTCACTGTGTGATTGGGGCCTGTGCGCTCTCCACCCGCCCCCCAAACAACCCCTCACCGTGGGAGCCATCCCTGTAGGTAGCTTATCCGGTCCAGTTAGGAACAGGTGATTGATGTCTCGTTTGGTTCCTCCCCCCTCCCCCGTAGCACTCAGGAGGTGGAGCGCGTGTAGAATGTACCGGCGGTCGGCTGCCCACCCAGCTCTGAGCTTCCCCTAGCATCTCTGCCGAGATGCCCCAAGCAGGCGGATCCCTACCTGGCTTGGATTGTCCGTTGTCATTGGTCACCCGGATGAGACTGCTGTGATCACTTTGCCACTCAAGGGAAATGAGTACCATTTTACCTTATTGTACTGATCTAGTCAGCTATGAGTTTTGATTAAAGGCTCTGTTTTACAGCTGATAATAACAGTGAACAGTGTTCCGGATGGATGCCTTTAGGGAATCAGAGAGGACTGATAACCTGCCAGCCTCTGGAGGCTCAGATCGCTGCTAGGAAGATGAAGTGCCCTGATTTCCTGAGTGACAAGTAGTTCCTCCTTAGGGAACATACGAAAGCTGTGAAGGTGGATCCAGTTTCTCCCTGGCCTTGGGAGAAAGCAGTGTGGCAGCTTCCAGCACGATACGGGATAGACAGGGAGATAGAGCTACAGCAGGAAATCTTCAATTCCTATTAAAATTCTTTATGGCCTATTGTATATCTAGCAGATGTTTTCAAGCCAGTCAAAAATGGAGAAATGACTGTAATTGTTGAGTCAGAGTTACTTTTGTGGAAACAAAACATTATTCTATCGCTATACGTATATCACAGTTTCCTTACCAGACCTGAATTTGACGTGCTTTTTTTAACTACAGTCTTTCATATTTCCATGAACGTTCAAATAACGACAACAGAAAAGCATGAGGAACCAGAGAGGGAAAACTTTTTAAAGTGTGCAGCCTTTTTTTCCTTCTAACTTGGAAGATAATGCTCATGACTGTATAGAGGGTATGAGATTAAATATTTCCACAGTTGTATTTTTAAATAAACGCTTGAACCTGGCTCTCCATTTTGGAAACCTGGCAGCTCCCACATGGGCAAGGCCATTCATTATATTTCTTAGGGTGTCTGACGTTTCTCCAGCTGTTATGTTCGGGTTTCTGGGTTTGTTATGTGTTTGGAGTATTGTGTACAGTGACAGCTGCTTATTCTTTTGCTTCTTAGCTTATGGGAATTGTCCTGACGTGCTTTCCTGAGAACAGAATTCTCAGCTCCTGTCATTTTAATTTTACTGGAAGTTAGCTCGTCTGATACTTTGTTTTCATTTTATTTTTATATTTTTTTATTTTATTTTTATTTTTATTTTTCTGTTGATGCGCGGGCCTCTCACTGTTGTGGCCTCTCCCGTTGCGGAGCACAGGCTCTGGACACGCAGGCTCAGCTGCCATGGCTCACGGGCCAAGCCGCTCTGCGGCACGTGGGATCTTCCCGGACCGGAGCACGAACCCGTGTCCCCTGCATCGGCAGGCGGACTCTCAACCACTGCGCCACCAGGGAAGCCCCCATTTTATTTTTTAATTTGATTTTTATTTTATATTGGAATAGAGTTGATTTACAATGTTGCTTAGTCTCAGGCGTCCTTGTCTGATACTCTTTGCCGAGTAATTCCCTTTCTGCCCCATTTCAGCTGAGCTTTCAGCACAAGATCGGGATCCTGTATTGCAGAGCCGGCCAGAGCACCGAGGAGGAGATGTACAACAACGAGACGGCCGGACCAGCTTTTGAAGAATTCCTCGATCTGCTGGGCCAGAGGGTGCGGCTGAAAGGATTTAGTAAATACCGGGCTCAGCTGGACAATAAAAGTAAGCTTCAGACTTGCTTGTGTGTGTACAGATTTAATGCTCCAAAGGTAGGCGCACCCCAGACATCTAAGCTAGCGATCCCGAGCCCTCCCTCCCCTTCTTGACCCCCTGCAGCGGCCGAGCTGGCTTATTTGGGATGGAGTTGAGATTTCCTCAGATGAGCAGAGGGGGCACATTTCTCAAGAGCTCTGTGTCTCTCACAAGCTCAAAGGGTCAATTCTTGTTCCCATGTAACGAGAGCAGAGATTCCCCGGTGTTTGGTGAATAATCTTTTAATATGTTCTTCTTTCTTTTCACCTCACCTGTCCGTTACACCCTGTCCCACGGCAGCAAGGATGAGCCCCGCATTCATTTCTGAAAGTCTAAACATCACCACACCCACTCAGGCCGTGCTCACGGCCTTGTCTTTGCTCGTTTCCGTTTTCACGATGTTACCTGGGGAGCTGAAGCAGTGATGAAAAAGCTAACGCATCCTGCTTTCCAAGAACCTTAGTCAGGTCCCCTCCTAGGATGTGTGAATTGGTCTTGTCTCTCCATTTAGGTAACCGTGTTCCTTACGGCCCTCATAAATTCTAAGCGGTTCACCTTCGTATTTGTGTTGTCATTTAGTTGCTCTCAGCACACCTGGTAAAAATACCGGGCAGAGTAATTTTGTGTATCTGGGGAAATTCTGCTTATTGTCAAGCAGTTAAGCGCTTGCTCTTTTAATGAAGATGAGCAGATAGATTCTGAACTTGGAGGATCTGGGGGGGCATCTAGCCCTAGAGGAGGGGCCGGTGGGGACTCTTCCCTGGGGGAGGGTCAACGTGTGGCCGAGCCAGGGTTGGCATGGAGGCCACCTGAGCCCCTGCGGCCCCCGGCCCGCTCACCTCGCGACCATCAGAGATACTTGCCTAGATCGCCGGTGGTACCACTCTTAGTGCGCATGGCCTGTCATCAGTTCTGGGGTTCTGATCTGTTTTTGAACGTTACACTTAGAGGGTAGATCGCAAGACCCGGACATGGTGTTGGCTCACGTGCGGGCCCTGTGTGTCCTCCACACACGCCAAGGTTGGAGTTTGACTATTAGGCTGAATGTGGATAGCTCATGCCTCAGAAATGTTAAGGTTAGAAAATAATTTGTGACAGCCATTGCAAGTATCCACATCTTTTAAGAAGGATCAGGGAGACCTTTTCTGATTTTCTCCTCTGTTTCCTGTGCAAACTCCCCTTACCCACAGACCACCACATACCCGCTAGAGGTGCTGGCGTGCCAGTCTTAGGGACGTCCTTCCAGGAGAACCACTGCCAACGTGGACTCATTGCTATGCATGCCTGCCGTCCCTCTGCTGTGGGGTGGATTGGGGAAGCATTTTAAGAGCTTCTGAGCTGTACGTTCTATAAAACTAAAGCAGAGGTAATGCAGATATTTTCCTATGTATAGAATTGACATCAGCTTGGAGTTTTCATGACTTAAGAGATGTCTTTAATACATTACAGAGGTAGTGCTATGTACTTTAGTGCAAGGAAATGATAACATCAGAACAGGATTTTGATATGTTCATTCTAATAATCAGCAAGTCTTTTATTTTTATGAGCAGGACCTTCTATGAGATGCAAAGAAATCATGGCATGCCTTTAGAGAGGAGGTCTCTAAGAATTATGTTTCGTGGAGTGGTCAAATAAAAAGTATGTCTTTCATGCAGTGGGCAAAAAAAAATATCTTCCTTCTTAAATACAGGAGAGTTGTGTTGCAGTTTTCATTCCGCCTGCCCACAGGACCTTGGGCAAATCTGGGCCTCATTTTCTTCACAAAGAAAAGTCAGAGTTTCGGGCTAGAGTATCTGAGATGTCCCTTCCAGATTTAAAATGGGTTGTTCCTCTCTTAAGTACAGAATGAAATGGGGTAGGAATAGAGGCGCTGTGAGCTGCTAAGGTGCTCTGCTATCCAGTAGAATATAGACCCCCAGGCCGTGGCCAGCCTTTCTTTGGTTGGCTGCAGAGAATGATAAAACCGGAGACTGCCGTGATGGCCCTGTATCTCTCTCTCTCTCTTTTTTTAAATATATTTATTTATTTATTTTTGGCTGCGTTGGGTCTTCGTTGCTGCGTGCGGGCTTTCTCTAGTTGCGGTGAGCAGGGGCTACTCTTTGGTACAGTGTGCGGGCTTCTCACTGCGGTGGCTTCTCTTGTTGCAGAGCACAGGCTCTAGGTGCACGAGCTTCAGTAGTTGTGGCATGCGGGCTCAGTAGTTGCGGCTCACGGGCTCTAGAGCGCAGACTCAGTAGTTGTGGCATGCAGGTTCAGTTGCTCCACGGCATGTGGGAACTTCTCGGACCAGGGCTCGAACCCGTGTCCCCTGCATTGGCAGGCGGATTCTTAACCACTGCGCCACCAGGAAAGCCCCCCGTATCTCCTTTTGAACAGAAATATTTGCAGCAAACCCTTGAACAAGCTTGAGCTGACCTTTTGCATTACCCTTCTGATGTTTAAAATAAAAACTTTGAAAATATTGAATACTTAATTTTAGAAATTCGTCCTTTAGCACTACTTGGGATAGACAAATTATGACCACGTTTTTGGGAATGTTTCTCCCCCTTCCCCCTAAAAGTGCATTTTTCTTTTTTCATTATGAATTCCTGAATCTGAAGCCCATTGACCAGACTGTGAGATATCTGTCCGCATTTCTCTTACTGAATTTTAAGCATCGTAGTAGCAGTGTTGTGAGGGGAGTCATTGAACCTGCAGGGTTAGTTCGTCCTCTGACCTTCAGTGTTACTTCTTCGTGGGAGGAACAATCGTCATTCCCTCACGACCGGCCTGCTCACTTCCAAAGCCACGTTTCATCCTTAAGGTCCTGAGACAAGACAGTTGAAATGGAAGATTACTCTCTAAGAAGTCCTAAGAAAAATAACAAATACGCAGTTAATGAATAGCTAAAAGAGAAAATGGGGGCTGGATAATATAGAGCTTATTAGATGAATATCCTCTCTGACCGTCTGCAAGTTAATTTATCAGTATCCATAGATTAACATTGTACATACTCCCCTTATGCGTGAAATTTCCTTCTATGAGTACCTCTCAGCACAAAACTGTATGCAATACTTTTTTCTAGAGGATTTTCAGGACTATTTCTGAGTTGGATATAAATGTTGGAACTAAGAATATGTTGCATGATTTAGAAAGAAAATAATAAATGCCCATGAAGGTTAAGTGTTTTAATGTTCTTAAAGTAAACATTTTAATTTTCAGATTAAAAAAAGGTTAGCCCAAGATCACTACGTAGAGTTTCCCCAACAAACACAATGGAATAAACTTCGTTTTCAATAATATCGAACAGTATTGTTTATTGTTGTTTAAAAGGTAGACGATAAACCTGTATATAGATCAAGGATTGAGAACGGCAGTCTTGAGTTCTGTTTACATCTTAATTTCTATTTATCTTTTTGTCTTTGTCCATATGCAAAGTGATTCAAAACCTCCGTCCTAAAATTATTACTTAAACGTTTTATAGTCACTGTTGGTTTGGGTGTCTGAAACTCTCAGTGAGGTAATCTGTCGATAATACAGATGGGTTTCGAATTTGCACAGAATCATTCTGCTTTTCAAAAGATGAATAGCTGTATGATTAACAGGGATTCAGATGTCATCGTTTTTTTAACATGTATCAGTGCATAACATGCAGTAAGAGATCACATTCATCCTCCCTGGTCTTAATCACACGACTGCATCATCGCATTGCCTGTCAGAAAGAGAAGAAAATTACTTCCATCATTCAGGGAAGAAATCCTTAACGTCTTTCATTCCCATTTCCATATGAAGTCAATCCTGTTTCATTTTTCTGGGTTCTGGAGGGTCAAGTGCCCAAGAATAACTGATAATTAACTGTAGACACACGCACACGCACGCGCACACACACACGATGGGGCAAGGATAACTTCTGGTTAGCTCAGCCCCGTCTAATAATTGCACCCAGACCGGCGCCAGGCCACACCTCCTCCTGTGCTCACCTGTACTTCTTGTGGCAGCAGCATCTCGCCCATGTGGGTCATCTGAGTTAGCACTGCGAAGGCAAGAGTGGAGAAGAAAAGAGAGGGGAAACCACGCGTTCAGTAGAAAGCGCCTGGGTGAGAGCAGATGGCAAAACTCAGGCCGCAGGCGTGGGCTGGAAAGTGGGAGCAACAGGGCCTAGTGAGAGAGCCGGGCCACCCCCAAGAGACTGGTCCTTTATCGTTGGGAGGTCTGTTCTTTTCGGTTGAATTGCCTTTTGTAATAATGACCTTCTAAGTGTTGAATTGCTAATCTGCAGTGGCCTAACTTGTTCTTGCAATTAATCTTTGTTTTCAGCTGATTCTACAGGAACGCATTCCCTGTACACGACGTACAAAGACTACGAGCTTATGTTCCATGTGTGCACCATGCTCCCACACACGCCCAACAACAGGCAGCAGGTACGGCCTCCTCCCACCCCCACCCCCACAACAGATGCCACCTCCGAGGGCAGCCCTTCCATGCTATCAGTGTATTTCGAATTTGCAAAGCATCAGTAGGTTTTTCTCTTTGAATGGCATTCGTAGTCTTTGACTCTTTTATCATCTGGAAGTGTTTGGGCTTTAAAGGGATTATTACGGCACACGTTTTATTGCACTCTTTTCTTACAGAACTTAGAAACTCTTCCACACTCACCTGGATTGCTTGCCAGGCAAAATCTTAATGGGAAGCAGCGTCAACTGTATTAATTACAGAAGAGGTCAACTAATGTAACCTGACCCTCCGTTTCTGCGTGTGGGTAGATAACTTCTAGAAAATATTGTAAGAAAGAATCTTGTAACTCACTCGTGGCGTTCTTTAATTTTAGGGGTTTGATTACATTTGGGGTGAGTGCAGAGTTAAAGCAAGGTTTGTTTCCACGCTTAGAAAACTTAATTTTGCTGATGTCACGTAACCGCACTCCTTTGCTCTAAGTTAAAGCAGCAGGGACTACACGGTGGTTGTTCAATAAGCATTTGTCACGTGAATGAAACTTAATTGTTGCAGAGAACTTTGTCTTTCTTTTTTACGTGTTTTCTGAATGCTCATGAAATGCAATGAAGGTAGTCAAGGGGTGCATTTTCCCAGCGAGGCCACTTGCCCTGTTCCCCGGTGGGAAGAACCACCTTAGATCCCCCAGCCAAGAGGAAGAAGAGGCCCCTGACCCCCAGCCCGGCTTTGTCACATTTGGGGCTGTAGCTCCTCTGTTTATTCCTCTTCCCGTGGTAATTGCTGGATGGTTTTTTTCTACCTAATACTTAACCTCAATCCCTTGTCCTTCCTGTATTCTCTACAGGGTTTTCTAGTAATCAGAGTTCTGCCCATTACCTTCAGAGGATCTGTCTTTTGATCACATGTCTGTATGTTTTTTATGACATGGAGTTACAATCCCTAGATCACACGTATGAATTTTACACACGTTGTAAACTAAAGGATTTCTAGCTCTTCAAACGTTTATTTGGAATAATGCCATATAGACTCACTCAGTGTTAAGATGCTCGATTTTAGACCATGCAGTTGTCCTTGCAGATACTTTTACGATCATCCAGTAATTAAACTCTGGGTGAGTTGTTGCTGAGAAACCTGATAGGGCTGACTCAGGCCCAGAGACCCTGTCAGTAGGTTAGTGGAAATAGAACCAGTGCCTTTGGACCCCACTCATGGAGCGTTCAACTCACAAGGCCCTGCCAGCTCCCCAGTTACCTGAGTCACTGGACTCCGAATCCACTGCGTTGTTGCTCAGAGGGCAACCTCTGAAATGTCAAAGTCCCTTGACTTTGCTGTTACCAGAACTCAAAGCTGGCTTCCCCCGTCCCCTTTTTATTGAACAGTAATTAAAAGTGTGGTTTTATGAGTTCTTTGTACCAGAGTTTCTTTCACTGAAACTCTCCCCGAAAAGTCCTGCACATAAAAAGGTGGATGGAAGGATGGGGGTGGGGAGTGAGGTACGTGGGTGTTTTCAACTTCCCAAATGGGAGATTAAAAAAACAAAAATCCCTGTAAGTTGAGATAGTATATTACAAACTCCGTAGCCTAAAGACTTGTTGGTTCCATTTTTGTTTTCCTTTTTTATCTTGAGTGAGAATCCGTGGCGTTGAATGTTATGCCGACGCATTAGAGGTAGAAAACTGCTTGTTTTGCTTCTTTAATTGCTCTTGCTATGTGTAGAATATATATGATCTTATATGTGTTTCATTGGGAAATCTACATACTCAACGTAGGATGTAGGCGAGTAATCGCAGTATAAAAGGGATGAGTGTAGGATGGGAGATAAGAGTCATTGGACTTGTATTCTGAACTTATGGTAGTCATTTGCCTTGTGGCCTTGGAAAAGATTTAGTCTCTCAAGAAATTGGACAATTATATAATGAGGATGTGGTCTAGGTGGCCAGCAGTGCGTGCTTGGAGCCCTGTACTGAGAAGAAAGAACTCTACGCCGCGGCTCCGGCGGGAAGAATGCTGTATTTTTGAGATACCTTCCGAGGGTGTGGAAGTGGGGAGGAGTGGCACACCTGAGCGTATTTGGACAAGATGATGCATAGCATCTCCCTCTCAGTGTTCGAATTCCGTGATTCTAGGGCCTTCTTTGAGGCTTCCTCCTTCTAGGTTGGCAAAAAGCTTCAGCAGAAAAATGTAGTTCTTAAGAGCAAGAATTCTAGAACCTTCCTGGATATGAATCCCAGCTACTTAGCTTTGTGACCTTGGGCACAATTGTCTGTGCTTTATTTTCCTTTATCCCTGAAGGTAGAGACTGTTACCTCTTTCTTCACGGAGTGTTGTATGCACACAGAACCACTGCCCAGAACGTGGAGAGCAGTCAGTTAACATTTGTTGAATGAATGAATGAACCTTTCTTAGATGGTAGTTAGAATTAGGTGAGTTAATATGTATAAAGCACTCTAAATAGTGCTGGCACAGAGTGTGCTCAATAAGTTTTAGGTGTTATTATAATTTAGAACTTATGAGATAGAGAGGACAAGTATTTTAGATGACTTAATTTGCATTTTATCTTCCTGTTCCCAGTGCTAAAGACCTATCATGAAAAGCTAAGGCCTGAATAGTTAAGAAAGGAAGGGACTAATTTACCAATAATTTCAGAAAATCATTTTTACTTTGACATTTAATACTTTGCTAATCACGATCAGAATATCCTGGTCATAGATCAGTGATGGCGCTGTGCAGTCTTGGAACACGGACTTTCCAGATCTGTTGCAGGTGGTGCTGCTTTGCCGTCTCTCGCACCCACCCCACCCGTGCCCACAGATTACGGTAATACCAAGGGCATAAGTGTCTGAAGTGACCATCCGGGTTCATGACTGCAGTTTGAGGCCACACAGCTTAGCGAAGTTAACTGGTCTGTACGTGAATTGCGCCTCTGACTTTGGCCTCATCAGCCCTGTGGTATTTGTGACTATTTCACTGTTCTAGATGCATCCACATCAGATACAATTTCTTGTGTTTGTTCTTGTAATAAATCAAGCTGAAAGCTGATTCCAAGGTGTATTAAAAGTCTTCAGAGGGTCCATGACAGTTGCAAGAGAGTTCAATCTTTGGAATGTCTGGACTCTTACAAAGAAAACGTAGCCAGATAAGGAAGCCCGTTCTTGGAGTGTTTTCCCTTTTCAGTCAAATCCCCCAGGTCTCTCTCTGGGTCTGCTTGGCAGTCAGTCAGTCCACTTTTCCCAGGGCTGTGTCCCCTGGCTGCCTCCCTCCTGCTTGTCCTATAGACAGATCGTAGTTAAGCCATCATGGGGTGTTATCAGTGGGACTTCACTTTGGCAGAGACAAACTAAGTATATAAACAGATGAAGGTAGCATGGTTCCTGGCACACAGTAAACTTTTGTGTGTGTGTGTGAATGCATGTGTAATGTTAGAACTGCCCTGCTTGGAAGGGGTTTCCGAGCTCCATGGAGGTCCCTAAGGAAAAAGACAAAACCCCTGGGTTTCTGAGATTCCATCTGAAGAATCCTGGTCTTAGCCTAGGGATGGGCTTGATACCTACAGAGGAAATAGGGACAGAGCTTGTTAGGCTAGGCTGGAACCCCTTCTGCATATAATTTACACAGATGGTCAGCCCCTGCCTTAAAAGGTTTGTGTACATACTTCTGTAAGTCCCTAATTGGTACAGCTGAGGAGCCATTTAAGTATTGGAGGAATCTATCTCATTAAGTGCCCTCTCTACAGCCAGGTCCTGACTGCTCTTGGGTTCACCTATAAATAGTAATCTGGAATATTTTGGAAGCATCAAAGGCATATCCAGCTTTTCATGATTAGCTTTATTCCCAGGCCAGAAAGAAGAATGTGTACTTATACCAGATAATAAGAATTATTGCTTTGCAGAAGGGCTGGTATTGCCCAGTTTCAGAAGAGAAACATTTGTATCGTCATAATCTTTTCTTATCTTCACTTTGTTATTAAATCATTAAAAATCTGCATTCTTGGTTTATTTCTGTTTCTCCATTTCCAAAATATTCAGTCTTGCTTAGCTGGTTTGTGCCTCTACTCTTGCCATTGGTAAAATATTTTATATAATATTTTTATATTGGTTATATAGAATGGTAAATCAACAATGCATCCTTGAAACGGTGATTAAATTTGAACTTTTCTTACTGATCTGAGATCACAGTGGTTAATTAGAGGTCACTTTTTTGTGGAAGCAAAGGAGGCAAGATCTTTTGTATTTATGTGGTAATGTGTGTAGGTTTTCCCCCTCTTTCTTGCTGCTCAGACTACTATTCTATGTTCACTTTTTCTGTGTCTTTATACAGGAAACTTTATAGATGTCTCTTAAAAATGAGAGCAAAATTCTGACCACTGGTACATGCTCTTTTGAGTACAGAGAATATGAGGGGGCTGTGTTGTGTGCATGCATGTGTGTTTGTGTATGTTCTGTGTGCAAGTGTGCAGAGTTAGGACGGTCCCTGAAGGAGGAGAAGCTAGCGCACCGTGTAAAGGGGAGACACTTTCTAAGCAAGGGTTGGCGAACGCAAGGTGCCTGCTGCAGAGACAGGTGGGCGTGTTGCAGGGATAGGGTGGCTGTTTAGAAGGGGAGGGCGGGTGACGGGGTCAGACTCCGGGAAGGATCGGGACAGACCAGTCTTTGTCAGCCCTGCTCCTACTGCTGGGGCTTTCCGACGATACCCCAAGGACTGAGATCCAGAATTTATGACTGTTTTTTCAAAACGGGATACATTTAATTTTTTTCCTCACTTCTGAACTCATCTCTTTGCATTTCAGAACTTGTAATCATTAAACGATGCAGTTTTCTCTTTGAAATCATGTTCATTTTCACATGTTTGCTTCTTAAGACAAGAAACTCTCTCTGGAGATCCGCCTTCTCCAGTTTCAAATTAAGCTTTCTCATCGCTGACCCTGAGAGACTTCTTCTGAACGACATCCCAGCCGCGTCACATCTTCTTGTGACGGTGCAGCCTCTTTCCCCCTCTCCTCCAGAATCAGGTGCGACATGCTTTTTTTTTAAAAAAAAAAAACTTCCCAGGTTTTTTTAAAAAAGAATTTAACAAGCGATCCTATTTGCATAGAGGCTGGTAGATCTAACCAAGTTCAACTTTATGCCATTTTCGATGCATATGCAGCTGCCTGGAGGTTGGTTGTTTTCACTTGCTTTTAGTTCTTGCATGAAGTTAAAACTGGACCTGTGAAACCCTGAAGTGTGTTTAAGGAATTGAAGATAAACCCACAGGTTGCTATTTCTGTAGCATCTGTATGTTTTTTGTCAGGGAATTGGGTGACGAATCACAGTTTCACTTTCCTTGTCATACCAAGAGCTTATTCCTGGCTCACAGCTTGAATCAAGTGTCGGGAAGTTAGCAGAATTGACTCTGTGAATCTAATACAATATTTATTAACTCACTCTCGCGGTTGAAGACTCTTGAGTTGGCCCTCTTGGCACTGAAGAAGTGTTAGGAGCTTCTCACGTCTGGAAAGGCCTAGAAGACGTCGTTCCTTAATCCCCGAAATAGCACCGGCGGCGTCTTGGTGCCCGGGAACTTGCCTTGCTGTCTTGCTGGGCTGACCTGGTTTATGGGCTGCCGTGCCCTTTCCGCTTCCATTTCCGGAGTCGACTTCTACAGAATTTCATTGACGAGTTAGAACAAGACATAACTAACTGCTGAAGAGAACCCTAACCTTTATATAAGAAGCCCAAGAATTACTTAGGCTGTTTACTGTCTGACAATGAATGTTTCCGTGAACCTGCCAGATGCTGTATTTCTTTAGTCTCTAAAAAGATTCAGATGTCCTATTGATGGGCCAGGTGTTCATTTTTCATTGTTTATTCTCTACAGAGAGCTTGAGATTTTATTTTCCTCTTTTTTTTTTTTTTTTTTTTGCGGTACGCGGGTCTCTCACTGTTGTGGCCTCTCCCGTTGCGGAGCACAGGCTCCGGACGCACAGGCTCAGCGGTCATGGCTCACGGGCCCAGCCGCTCCGCGGCATGTGGGATCTTCCCGGACCGGGGCACGAACCCGTGTGCCCTGCACCGGCAGGCGGACTCTCCACCACTGCGCCACCAGGGAAGCCCTATTTTTACAAAGCAAAAGAATATGCTTAGAAAGGGGCAAAGGCGGGTTGGCACGTCGTCGAGGTAGCTAGCCTTAAAGTTTCCTTTCACTTGCGCTTTAAATGTTCCCGTGGTGAAGTGTAGAACTGGACCCATGGTCTTCCTTCAGGAGCAAGAGAAATGGGTAGGAATAGCTGTCCGCGTTTCACTGACTAATGAGGCTGGGCTGCCCTCTGAGGTTAACCCAGGAGGGTGGCCAGCGGACGCCCTAGTCACTGGGGAAGGAGGGGCCTAGAATTCCATACGTGGCCTTGGCCCCGGCAAGCTCCATCTATCTTCTCGTCAGTCTGAGAATTCCCGTGTTTCAAGGAGTTCGAGAATTCCCACGTTTCAAGGATATAGAGGAAAGTACAGTGTAGGCCACCGTGTTCGTGCTCAGCAAATACATTGAACACACTGTTAGGTAGTTCAGTTTTTCTTTCCATTTTTCATTTGTTCCTGGATTTTGTTGTCCTGTTACAGTACACGTGAATCATGTATTTCAGTTATTGCGGAAACGAGGGAAGAATATATCTTAGCCTTGTACAGTTTTCAGCTTGTCATGACGCTTGTTTTATTTTTTTATTTATGTTTCTGGCCGCGCTGTGCGGCTTGCCGGATCTTAGTTCCCCGACCAGGGATCAAACCCCGCCCCCCCCCGTAGTGGAAGCGAGGAGTCGTAACCACTGGACCGCCGGGGAAGTCCCGTGATGCTTGTTTTCGATACGTGTGCTTGCCTTGTTTTCTTTTCTTTTCATGAAATGTTTACTGTGGTTAACATCTGTGTCCACTCTAGGATGGGTAAATAGTAACACAGTGAATATATGACTCGTTTGCTACTGATTTTTTTACGTGCATCTTATAATGTCGCCTTTTACTTAAATATCTAGCAAACATTTTTAAGACGACAGCTGGCTCATTCATGGATATTAGTATAGCTTTCAAAACTTCACTCAGGCTGTAAAACGATTTTTGTGTGTTTATAACTTTAACCATCGGGATTTAAATAGCAGTTTTCCACCATATGAGTCAGCGATTTAACTGGCCCATCGTAGGGAACTCTGGAAGAAAGGACATTTCGTTCCCACTTTTCCAGGCCTTTTATCGTGCTGGATCACAAGTCAGGGGCCTGACAATGAAATCCTTTTTGTATCTGGGTTTAAAAGGTTTTTAAAAGTTGAAATTAATGCTCTTTACAGTGAAGTATGTTCCGTAAGTGCCAAATAAATTTAAGCGCGAGCTTGTTGCCTCTGTTATTGCTTGTAAAGAGAGATTTACTACCCGAGGTGACCCCGTTGCTGCACTGACATCACCAGCTCATGTAAGGCTTACCGTCTCTGTGAAAACTGAGGGTCCCAGACTCTGGGAGCACAGGTCCTGATGGCTTTAGGTGCGTAGGCTTACGGAGTGTATGGATTTGTTGGTGTGTATTCACAGTTGGTCACCATTTTCTTGCGCGGTGTTACGTGGCTGTGATTGTGTGTTTGTAACGCTTGTTATTTCACTTAGCCAGCGTGTGTGTGGGTGTCTGCTGTGTCCTGGGCAGCCCATTGGAAACTGGGAAACCAAAAGTCAACGAGATACATCTCCTGCCCTCGTCATGATTATGACCTGACGCAGGAGAAGTAAACCAAGACTTAGAACAGGACACGACAGCTAATGTGGTCGCCATGGGCCTGGGGTATGGGTGCAGGGCCTGTGCAGTCCCTCCAAGGACGTTCTTTCCAGTGGGTTGGTAGCTCAGCAGAGACCTGAGTGGTCTAGGAGAGACTTGGGGTGAAGGGGGCATTCTCGGCAGAAGGAACATCGCAAGTAAAGGGGTTCAGGTGTTACTGACCTGGGGTTCCTTCTCTTCTGATGCATTTGTAATTTATTGGGTTTTCCAACTGTTAATCTGGTGGAATTCTCTGTTCCTGAAATACATTGAAAAGGCTAGATTTCAGTTAATTAGCTTGAATATACCAGCCGCCAAAATAACAGTCTTCTGTATTTTTGTTGCAGAAATGCACGTGTCATGTAAGCCCCTGACACCCTCGTGCAGGACTTTCAGCCACTGCACCTTCCCCTGGACGCTCTGCCATCTCCTCCTTTTAATCTACAAGATTCCTTAAAGCGATTTTAGCTCTAATGTGCTATCATTTCAGGGCAAAAAGTGATAAAGATGAAAAGGAGAGAGAACACCAGTTGCCTTTCAAAGCAAAAGATGAACTTAAATATCGAGGCTTTTCTTTCCATAGGTCTTTGGACGCAGCCATGTCAAGGAGCCCTAGCTTCCGAAGGATGACTCTGCTTTTCGAAAAAACTCCTTGAAATTGAATGCTGAGTGAACTGTATACATTTACGTATCTTGTCTTTACAGAAAACCGTGTCTGTAACTCTGTGTGTGTGTGTGTTCACTTTCCTGACTGCAGCTCCTGAGGAAAAGGCACATAGGAAATGACATCGTGACCATTGTTTTCCAAGAGCCTGGAGCACTTCCTTTTACTCCAAAAAGCATCCGGTCCCACTTTCAACATGTCTTTGTCATAGTCAAAGTGCATAATCCATGCACTGAAAATGTGTGTTACAGGTGAGTCCCTGGCGTTTCATGCTCCCAGGGTTGTTCCAACAGGACCTCATTCCCCAAAATGTCTTCCAATTAGTTTTCCAATTATTATTTCTATGCCTATAATTATCCTTTTTTTTTTTTCTAATTATATTTCCCACAGTCTTCACTCAGGCACTTTCTTTCTTTCTTTCTTTTCTTTTCTTTCTTTCTTTCTTTTCTTTTCTTTCTTTCTTTCTTTTCTTTTCTTTCTTTTCTTTCATTTTATTTTTGGCTGTGTTGGGTCTTCATTGCTGCGTGCGGGCTTTCTCTAGTTGCGGTGAGCGGGGGCTACTCTTTGTTGTGGTGCGCGGGCTTCTCACTGTGGTGGCTTCTCTTGTTGTGGAGCACGGGCTCTCGGCACGCGGGCTTCAGTAGTTGTGGCACGCGGGCTCAGTCGTTGTGGCTCGCGGGCTCTAGAGCGCAGGCTCAGTAGTTGCGGCGCACGGGCTTAGTTGTTCTGCGGCATGTGGGATCTTCCCGGACCAGGGATCGAACCCGTGTCCCCAGCAATGGCAGGCGGATTCTTAACCACTGCGCCACCAGAGAAGTCTTACACTCAGGTACTTTCTGTAAGAAATAATTGTCTTCTTCCCATTTTGAAGCAGTGAAATTCCTAGCAGTTCACAGTCCTAGGTCTCACCTTTCCTCAATGTTGAAGACTTCCTCCAGCCCCTGCCAAACCACCGCTTGACTGATAGCAGCCTCGGAAGTGGAGGATCTGGCCATTTCAGTGCTTCCCTGAAAGAAGCGCATTCTGGTGGTAAAATGTTTCTTCCCGTCTAAGAGCTTGGAAACACACACACACGGTGGTGTGGTGGTGTGTTGAGATAGGGGTTTGACACTCGCTTTGGTGATTTCAAAAGGCCATCCAGGTGCCTTGGAATCCCGAGACTGACGAGGCCTGCCCTTCCTGTACCCATGCTCTTCCTTAGGAAGCAGCTGTCCCCGAAGGCTCCTGCCTTGTGGGGTGTCAGTAAAAGAGCCGGTCTCTGACCTGAGTGAGAATCCAGCTCTCCTGCCCCCTCATGGCGCTTTGTAACGAGTTAGCTTATTTTTTGGAGCCTTCATTTCCTTTTCTGAAAACTGGGGATAATAGTACCCACTTCAGTGTGTAGTTATGAGGAATGAATGGCAGGAATTATGCAAAACGCCTGCTAGAGTTCCTGGCGCTCATCCTAAAGCAGTGGTTACCGGTTGAGCAGCCTCCCGGACCTGGATGGGGCCCAGGCCTGGGTACGTGTGAGGGGCAGAGGGGCCTGTGAACTGCAGCCGTGCCCTCCTAGGGGCAAGGAGACCGGCCTGTGTGCTTGGTGTCGCCAGCTTGCATCCCCACCCCACGCTCTCCCCATCGGCATGGTTTCCCCCTGTGGTGATACTTGTATGCACCTCCGTTCAAGACCCCTGGCCTGAATGCTCAGAACGACTTTTTATTGAAAAAAAAAAGTGATATTTGAAAAAAAGGACATCTAGTCTGTATAAACGATACGCTTAAAACCGGTGACGTTGGTGCAAACATGCTCAGTCGGCTTATTCTTCTGGGACCTCCCCTGATGAATGGTAATTACGCAGAGTAATCTTAAAGGAGCCTTCCTAATGGATTGGAAACATAAGCCTAGGGCTTTATTGTATTTGGTGTTATTGTAGAGGCTGCTATTCTTAGGTCAGATCAAGTACTTTTAATCACTTTCTATCTTTAGTTTATGCTTCTATCATGAGGCGGTTGATTAGCACAAAAAAATCTTAAGGATAAGTAATACCTCTTTATTTTTATTTCTTTTAGGTTTTCTGTGTTTAATTAAATGACCGGGGAGGGATGCTTTTGATATAGATCTTACCTGTCAACAAAGTGGCTTGCATTATGTTTCCTGTGGTAGAAACCAGCGTGTACAAATGGTTCAAAGATGGGGTCATTGCCTTTGCAGATACCATGTTGCCATCACTAAACTATCATTTACTAATGAGATTCAAATGTAAGGCAGTGGCGTGCCTCTAGGTTCTGGAAGTGCCTCATAAACATTCGTAATGATCACACTTACCACCTCATGAGTGTCCTTCGAAGAATCAATCGTGATCTTCTGGAAAACTAGTCAAATCGATTCCATGACGTTTTTAGGAAGATGTGTTTACTCTGTCACAGGGAATAAGGTTACAGTGCCCAGGTTTCCCAGAAACACCTCATAGGTCTGTTTCCTATGATTTCCTCAAAACATACCAGTCACAAAATAAATTCGTTAAAATAATTTCCAAGGAAATGGTAAAATATAGTCCAGGTCTGCCGTTTTCTAGGTTGCTCCGTCTGAATCACGGGTGCGTTTTATAGAAGCCTGTGTTGGTCGCACACGCTCCTGTGACCCCTGTGAGCTTTGCACAGGCGCTGAGTGGCAGTGAGTTCTGGCGGATCACGACCTGTAGTACCACGTAGCTCAGAGGCGTGGTCCCGGCAGACTGCTGGGGCGAGATGCCCTCCTCTGATAAAAGCGTGCTGCTAACCAGGGCACGCGTGCGGAGTGTGAACGAGCAGGCTCCCACCTTCCAGAGAAGTCCGAGGCGTGCCCCCTGGATACAGCAGGGCTCTCTCTCGGTGATGCTGGGGCCACTTGAACCTAGAAGGAAATAATGGGGCAACATCCACAAAGCTCCATGTTATGTAATTTCAGTCTAAAATTATTAAAAAGCAAACTTAACTGATTACCTGTTTCTTTATGCGAGATTCTTTCACTTCAATGGTTGTAGCCATTGTAGAGCTAACTCCGAGGGAGTTATGTGTTTGTGTGCTTTTCAAGATAAACTCTTTGTAAAATGCATCCTTTAATAACTGAATGAGTAAACTTCTTGCTGTCTGGAGGCTTAGTAGCTAACTGTCACTTAAAAGGGAAGTATTATCTGTATAAAACGATGACTTCCATTTTAGAAAACTTACTATGTAGCCCCTTCTTACAAACATTAGATGATAATGTTAAATCGATGATGAAAACGATAATTATTTGAGTTAATAATAGCTTAGCATGCATTATTTTGTTTAATCCTCATAGCATGCTTTTGAGGATGGTACTGTTTTAACCCCCGTTTTACAGACGAGGCACTGAGGGATTAAGTAACTCAGAGTCCCTCAGAAAGTGGTGGAGCTGGACTCCTACGAGGAACACCAGATCCTGGAATCTGCAGTACCCCACGTTGCTTTCCTAAAACCCTTTAACTGGCACATGAAGGAAGGCTCTTCTTTGTACTGTTGCCCTCAGTGGAGGGATCTTTTGTCTAAATCATCAGTAAATGCTATCAAGCTATTTGGGTAAAACAAGAAATTCTAAAACATACTCTTGTTTCCACCCACTGGGAATTATCCCAGTCTGGCAAAAGAATATTCCATCTTAACTCTGCTTGAAAGCATTACGGATTATGTAAGCTTTTGTAACCAGGGGTTTCTAATTGATCCCCATTCTCAGACTATCATGGTGATCATGGACTAGTAATAGTAGTAATAGTGATCATAGTAACAGCTGTGCCTGGATTCTGCTGCTTTTTTGGTACAACTTTGATCTGAGATGCCTAGGATAGTGGTTTCTCGAGCCACACTGTACCATACACTGTAGTGGAGGTGTCCAGTTAGACAGTTGGTTTAATAATTTGGGACGAGAAGAATCGCCCCGTTAACAGATGTCTCTCTCTGCCCACTCTGGAGCTCCACAGTGAGAGCCGTCTTGGAACACATTTAGATACAAAAAGTTCACCCTGATGCTTCGGCGTAAGTGCATCCAAGCTGTAGTCAGAGAGGAGCTTGAGATCCACAGAGCTAAGTGCAAAAAGCAATCCCGTAAGGTGTTAAGTGGGATTTGACCTCCTCAGCGTTCCAGGGGTAAAATACTCCCAGGAACCTGTGCTCATCACTGGAAGAGAAAAACATGCTTAGGAGAGGTGATCACATGAGTTGATCGTGGCCAGTGTCGGGAGGGCAGGGTCCAGTGCACTGAGAGGCCACTTGAGCTGGTTGATCGTTCTGGTGGGGAAGCAACAGGTGTGGCTACACTACCCACAGTCCAGACATGTAGCTTTGGGACAGCTCTCTACGAAACAACACCTGAGGACAAGTTAATTCCTACTCAGTCTAGAAGGTTCTTCCTAAGGATGGTAGTGAGGGGAAGGTGGTAGTGAGGGGAAGACGGGTCATATATGGTGTCAGCCCCTCAGCCATTCGGAACCTCCACGATGTTCCTAGGACCTTCCTTGAGGACATGAGTCAAGTCCCCCCACCTCCCTCTCTGGTTCAGCGCCTTTGCTACCATGCACGTGAGAGAGTTTGGTCTTCTGTCCCAAAGGGAAGCAGTCCTTCCCTCCCCTTTCACGCCAGCTAAGGCCCCGCCCAGACCCTCTTCCATCTTCTAGCTCTTTCCCCAGAAATGATGAACGCTGCTGAAGGGTATGCAGGTTACAGCAAAGGGGAGAGATCCCTGGGGACTGTGACCTATTTGGCGTCTAACCAGCCACATTCCAGAAAAGGAATTCACACCTAATGTTTTCATTCCTTAATCACCTCTTTCAGGATTTTCTACCATGAAGAAGATGAAACGTAGGTTGCTTCCTTTGTTTATCCCAACACAGAAAATACCAGCCTGGGCAGATGTGGGGTTGGTTCCCATTCTTGGTCTGCAGTAGCTGCTCAGTAACTGGGGAGTGCTGTGGGGTTCATTCATTCACTCACTCCAGTCCTTCACCTGCTCATTCATTAATTCACTCTTATTTCAAAAAGGATTTGAGACAACGAAAGCTTCTGTCTGATACAGGGGAGAGCATTATTGGTTTTGCCGTATTAAGATGGTTATTGCCGTCACTATACGTTTGATCTTTTCAGTCTCTGGAATCTCTTAAAACTTTGTTCCTATAAAATCTTCATCTAGATTTTCAAAATGTGAGCAAGTGAGCATTTCCTTAAAAAAAGGGACATTCAAAACTTCGGGCCCTGCAAGCATGATCATTGTGCCCAATAGCAGTGAGATCGCGAATAGCTGGCTGGGCTAACCGCACTGCTGTTGAAAGTGTCACTGCCTCTCAGTGGTGACCGGCCACAGAGCCACAGAGCACCAGCCTGGCTACTGATCCCTCATCCCTACCTTAGTCAGCTCGCACAGCCGTGACTAGGACCACAGACCCGGTGGTTTAAACAACAGACACTTACTTCTCACAGTTCCGGAGGCTGGAAGTCCAAGATCAAGGGGTTGGCAGGTTTGGTTTTTCCTGAGGCCTCTCTCCTTGGCCTACAGATTAACTGCTGTGTCCTCACATGGTCTCTCCTCTGTGTGTGTGCATCCCTGGTATCTTCCTGTGTGTCCAGGTTTCCTTCTATAAGGACACCTGTTAGACTGGATTAAGGCCCACCCTAATGGCCTCATTTTGACTTAATCATCTCTCTAAAGACCCGATCTCCAAACACAGCCACATTCCCAGTTACTGGGGTTTTGGACTTCAGCGTACAAATTTTGGAGGGACACTACTCAGCCCCTGACACCCCCTCAACTACTGAGTTTGAAAAGTTTTGCTAAAAACAAAGAAAAACTTGATACCCAGAAATGAGCATACCAAGAGGCTACAGAGTAGCTGGCTTCAGTCGCAAGTGTGGGTCTATGTCACATTTCTGAAGCTAACTATTACGGCCTCACAATTCATCTTGTTTCTCCTTTTCCTCCCTCAGTGTTGGAGTTTCTAGATCAAAAGATGTGCCACCGTTTGGTCCACCGATTCCCAAAGGTGTAACTTTCCCAAAGTCAGCAGTATTCCGGGACTTCCTTTTAGCGAAAGTAATCAATGCAGAAAACGCAGCCCACAAATCAGAGAAGTTTCGAGCGATGGCCACTCGGACGAGGCAGGAGTACTTGAAGGACCTGGCGGAGAACTTCGTCACGACCGCCACCGTGGATACGTCCGCGAAATTCAGCTTCATTACCCTGGGTGCCAAGAAGAAGGAGAAAGTAAAGCCCAGGAAGGACGCCCACCTCTTCAGCGTCGGAGCGATCATGTGGCACGTTGTGGCGCGGGACTTCGGCCAGTCCTCGGACATCGAGTGTCTCCTTGGGATTTCCAACGAGTTCATAATGCTGATCGAGAAGGATTCCAAGAACGTGGTCTTTAACTGTTCCTGCAGGGATGTCATTGGGTGGACTTCTGGGTTAATGAGTATCAAAGTGTTTTACGAACGAGGAGAATGCATCCTTCTGTCCTCGGTGGACAACTGTGCCGAAGACGTCAGGGAAATTGTCCAGCGACTGGGGGTAAGTACAGGTTTTTGTTTATCCACCATCCTTAGCTCTGCAGTCCCAGATTCACAGTAGCTTCTGCTGTGGAACTTCCACCCCAATTACATCACCTAGGAAGTGAATTACTATTTCTTAGGGGTAGAGTTTGATTTAATTTTTTTTAATTTTTAAATTTTTATTTTATATTGGAGTATAGTCGATTAACAGTGTTGTGTTATAGCGTTTGATTTTCAATGCTGTGTCCTTTTGAGCTGTTGCTGAATCCGTGAATGGTGGCGAAACACCCATTACAAATTGATCGGAAAGGAAAAGTGAAGCCAACTTTCCAAAGGGAACATCGGGATATATTTTCATAGTGTTTCAAGGAAGGACAAGAATTTACTAGATATTATGTCTGTTTGTAGAGACTGGCACGACAGTACCTTCCCAGGGGGAAATTAATAGGCACAGAATCACCATTGACCATATTGATGGTCAGAGTAAGCCCTCTTTGCTGTTTCACCTCTGCGTACTTACACAACAGGTATTTTTGTTTAGTCTGCCACATTAAATATGTTATTAATCTTGCAGCCAGTCTCTTACAGAGGTTTTATAGAATTACCCACTAAGTTAGAAAGATTTGAAGAAAGAAGTCATAAAAAAGATTGTTATTTGCAGTACAAAACCATGATGTCCGTGGTATTTAACAGTTGTATTTCTACTTCATATTTTAACAAAGGAAGAGACAGATTTTAGTTTGAGTATATACAATAGAATTTTAAGAATGAATGAAATATAAGAACAAAACGTGCTTTGACAAAAGAATTTTTCATGTGTAGATCTTCCCCCAAGGGGATGTATATTTCATTAATTAGAGAAGATTTAGTCAGTTACGGATCATGAGAAAAAGAGAAATTATACCCATTTCCTGCCCCCTTTCCTCTCATCAAACATAAACCTTTTATTATTCCAGACCACATAGATGAGACAATGCAATCATGTCAGTGTCTGCTGGCCTTGGAGAAATAATGTCATTATTTGCAGACGCTCTTTACAGGAAAGGGCCTCAGTGTGTTCAACAGTATTGAGGGCGTATGTGCGCAAGCTGAGATGTGATTCAGGGATGATTAAGTGTGTGATCAGTTTACGTATCTGGAGAATTGAGTTATCTTGTGAGTGTCAGGACACATTGTGCTTTTAGTAATACTGCAAATACTTCTTTTTAGGAGACCTACTGAGTCATCATAGTTTGTGCTCCGGAAAATACAACATAAACACACCCTCTTCACCAACCACCAAAATGCACGTCCCGTAGGTTCTGACACGTTCACTGTTCTGTGGACCCCATTCTACCATTTTCCTAGAAAAATGACTATATTGCTAATGTGACTAAGGTGCCTGATACCTGGAATATATTTGAGGAAGTATATCCTGTATCTTGGATGACTTGTAACAGGGGATGGTGGAAACAAACCAACCCAAAGACTGTTGGGGGGTTAGAACAAAAGGCTGGTGCAGGACAGGAGCAACAGAAATGGAAAGGAAGAGGATGAAGCTGTCGTAGTGGAGAGATGGGGAAGGGGTGCTACTGGGCAGATGGTGAACTCTGCATTTTCTAGTGGTGGGAAGTGAAATCAAAGGTGTCTGCTATGCAGGTAAAGACACAGGTGGGGAATAAGAGCTCCCACCTAGGGCTTCCCTGGTGGGGCAGTGGTTGAGAGTCCGCCTGCCGATGCAGGGGACACGGGTTTGTGCCCTGGTCCGGGAAGATCCCACATGCCACGCATGGCTGCTGAGCCTGCGCGTCCGGGGCCTGTGCTCCGCAACGGGAGAGGCCACAACAGTGAGAGGCCCGTGTACCGCAAAAAAAAAAAAAAAAAAGAGCTCCCACCTAAAGGGACAGGTAGGGCCGGTTACTCTCAGCAGAGCCCAGGCTTGGTTGAATGCTCTCCTGTTGCCATCTGGAAATTCTCAATAATTTTTGACTAAAGGGCCTGCATTTCTGTTTTGCACCAGACTCCACAGACTATGTAGCCAGTCGCGGGTACATGGATAGGAGGCCACCATGTGATCATTGAGGCCAAGTAATTATGTGACGAACTCCACATAAATGGAGAGCTTGATCCTTCAGCCTTTGCAAATGTTAAGAAGTAAGGAACAGAAGTGAGAAAGAAATCGCAAAAAGTAGGGGACGTGGCAGGTGGTTGGAAGAAATAAGAGACAGAACAAGTAGGTCTCGGAAAACCCTTTCACTCTTCAATCTGATATATGGATGTTAAATTTCAGCTGAAAATTGCATCCATATTGGAGAGAAGGCCGGGCACGTGTCAGATGTAGTCTTTTGGTCAGAGAGCTTAGTTGAAACAAAGCTGAAAAAGAAGTGAAGGACAAATTTATTCAGGTTGTATATATTACAGAAGTGCCTTTTCAACAATTTTAAATTAGTTCAGTTCGTAACTTTGGAAACTTCAGTCTTTCCAAACTTCACCACTAAGACCAGCAATCCCTTTCCCCATTTTCCTAAGCCCCAAACTGTCACGTGTGCCTGATTAGCAGGGTGGGCGCCGTGGCGGTAATGACCACGGTAACGTCCGCCACACCGGTGATAACCATGAACCAGCCCCGGTCCCACAGCTGTACTTACAGTCGTAGGTCTTCTTAAATAGGAATCTGTGTATTCAGAGCGTGTTTCATGGAAATGAAGCATTTATTAAAACGGAAACTCTGTGCTTTGGGGGATACGGGTATGATACCTCCCAGCTTTCAGCTGCCCACAGATAAGTGATGCCGTGGTCATCAAATGATATTCTCAATGAGCCCATGTTTTTCTTTCAGTGCATGTGGGCTATTCTCATTAAGCACTTCTGAGGGTGGCATTAACTAATTATTGGTGCTTTAGTTCACTGAGTGGGATGCTTGCCTACAGACACCAAGGAGGCCAGCTGACTGGCCACATTTGATCTGAATGGTCCTTACCACCCAAGCAAGCAAAGGGCAGGCTGTCCCCAGGAGAGGGATCCTAGGGGCTAGAACAGGATGTCCGCAGGCCTGGTGCACAGAGAGCACTTAAGGTTTTCCTGACAGTCTGACTTCCTGCTGCTGCCCATCCTGTGGGCAGGGCGCCAACTGTTAGCTTGGAAAGGCTTTGGGCCATTTTTTTCTCCCTTGTTTGTATATGGTACACTTTGCATGTCCATTCAACCATCCATGGACACTTGAGTTACTTCCACCTTTTGACTATTGTAAATAACGCTGCTAAGAATGTGGGTGTACAAATACCTGGGTGTACCTCTTTGAGACCCTGCTTTAAATTCTGTTGGGTATATACCCAGAAGTAGAATTGCTGAGTCTCGTGGTAATTCCATTTTAATTTTTTGAGGAACTGCCATGCTGCTTTCCATAGCTGCTGCACCATTGGGCTATTTTTTTAAGTTGAATAAAATTGTCTAATAGGGAATTCCCTGGCTCTCCAGTGGTTAGGACTCGGTGCTCTCACTGGCAGGGGCCCGGGTTCCATCCCTGGTTGGGGAACTAAGATTCCACAAGCCATACCATACGGCCAAAAAAAAAAAATTAATAGGTTTTATTGCTTGATGGGTGAAAGGCTTCACATGTTTTCAGTTGCTTCCGTCCATCTGGAACAATGGAATCTATATGCTTAAGAGCCGAGTCAGGTGACGTAGAAAGGAGACGGGGCCGGGGGTGGGGGTGTTATCAGAACCCGTCTTAAGCTCACAGGCTCTGGGTCAGTGGCTTCTAGGAAAAAGCAGGACACCTGTACCTGGTTTGCCTTTGAAGAATGAAACCTTCGTTTTACTTTTGTTATTTTCATTGCGCCTGATGCCAGGGGTAATTACGGTAAAGTCTGGATTGAACCGTGTCCTTGTCTTGTCATCTTGTCCCTGGGATGTGTGCCCCCCCTCAGCGCCACCCCTCACGGTCCCCTTCCCCCTTAGATCGTGACCAGGGGCTGCGAGACTGTGGAAATGACCCTGAGGAGGAACGGGCTGGGCCAGCTGGGCTTCCACGTGAACTTCGAAGGAATCGTCGCAGACGTGGAACCTTTCGGTTTTGCGTGGAAAGCCGGCCTTCGTCAGGGGAGCCGCCTCGTGGAGATCTGCAAGGTGGCCGTGGCCACGCTGACGCATGAGCAGATGATCGACCTTCTCCGGACCTCAGTGACTGTGAAGGTGGTCATCATCCAGCCCCATGACGATGGCTCGCCTCGGAGGTAGGCTCTCATCCACGCTCGCTCCTTCTTGGCCTCTGTGGCAGGTGCTATCCTGCAAGGTCCTCAGAAAGTGTGGTCACATGCCCCTTCCACCTAAGTTGTCTGGACGTCAACCATTCGGGCAACTTCAAAGAGCTTTAAAAAAGTCATTAGTATATAATAAGTGATAAACTGTCAATTTCTAAGCATTTTGTTAGGACGTTGAAGTCATTGGTTAACAGGATATTTAAGAGATCTCACTGATGTAGGATATCAACGTGTGGAGGAATATTGGGACATCAGATACACTGTTTGGTGACCACTCCATTCTGGTTGAACTGGTTCAGGGCTTTCTCATAAGCTGTCATGGGACACCTAGGAAAAGAAGTGGCTGGACTTGGAAAACTCAGAGCGGATGGGTGGGGGCTAGGGACAAGAATGGGATTAGAAAGTGATACCATTCCATCGTCAATAGAAAGTTCTCATGCTCACTATCAAGGAAGCATTAGGCCAAGGGGAGAAAGAACTCTCACTAAGAACAAGCCACCCACCTGGCCTTGGCCCCTGTTGCGCAGCAGTGTCTATAGTGGTATCTGGAGTGCATTTTCCGTGCCTCTCTCTCAAATGCAGTTCCCTCCTGGCTGGCCAAGAGCCCTGGCTTTGGAGGGATGAAGCATGCTTGCAATCCAGACGTTAGCTGTGTGATCTTGGGTGGGTCACATGCTCTCTCTGAGTTTCCCTTAGTATCTGTAAGATGGCATTATAATATTGCCCACCTCGTACTGTGTGATGAAGATTAAATAAGGTGATAATGTGTAAGGCACTTAACACCTTCTGGCATGGTCAACACCTTACTCATTTTAGTTAAAAGAAAAATAAACTAAAACTTTAGGCTATTCATTGGAATTTTTTCATGCTGTAAAGGAAATCCTTACTCAAAGATAGCAAGGTGACTGTGCCCACTTCTAATCTTCTGTAGTAACTCAGATCACTCTTTCTACCCTGTCCATCTCCTTTGCTCATCCTCCAAACCAGCACTGTCCAGTCGCACTTTCTCTGATGACATGTTCCATATCTGTACCGTCCAAACAGTGGCCACTAGCCACATGGGTAGCACACACTTGAAATGTGGATAGTGTGACTGAGGAAAAGGAGTTTTCATTTTAACTAACGAATTAAGGTTCAGTTAGCCGCATCTGGCTCGTGGCTGCCATATTGGATAGAGGAGCTCTAAACCATGGTCTTTTTTAGAAAACAAACCAGTGGTATACCACCTTCCTCTCTGGTTAATGTGCAAAATTTTGCAAAAGTGTGTTTCTGTTGGTTATCTAACCATTTGCCTCCTGCTTGACTTTCTATGGTCTTGTTTCCTCTATCTGCCCAGTAAGTTTACAGAATAAAAGTTAACGAGCTGAAATTCTTCTTGAGAGTAGTAGCCGCATGTCGCAGGAAATACCTAAGGTGTTTCTTGTTGCCTTGCAGGATTCTGTCCCATTAAATCCATTTGCTCCCCAAGAATCCCATGAATACACAGAAAACAAATCCTTTAAACTTGGAAACTAAAATAATTTTGTAAGTGTTAGCCTTTTAAAATAAATTTTAAACCAGTTATTAGAAATTCTTCCATAATATAAATTTCTTTCTTCATTGGCTAGAGTTATAGGTTTGTAAATTTTGTGGTGAGAATCAAGTCTTTTCATCTGTCTTAGAAGCTGATTACTTCTATAGAATTAGACAAAACTGTTACCATGTTCTCCCAAAATTAAAAAACAACATTTCTCTCCTATTTTTAGTTTTGGTCTACTGTTACTCAATAAGACGTTTCTTTTAAGCTTTCAAGAGATCTGCTTAATAAAAATGTTAAAGTTATCGTTATATTTGATATTTAAAACATATGATTTAGAAAAATAGAATCTCCTAAGAAATACGGAATTGTTTTTCAGCTAAAGCAAATAAACAAACAAAAACTACCATTTAAAAGTCCCGGGCTTCCCTGGAGGCTCAGTGGTTGAGAGTCCACCTGCCGATGCAGGGGACACGGGTTCGTGCCCCGGTCTGGGAAGATCCCACATGCCGCGGAGCGGCTGGGCCCGTGAGCCATGGCCACTGAGCCTGCGCGTCCGGAGCCTGTGCTCACAACGGGAGAGGCCACAGCAGTGAGAGGCCCGCGTACCGCAAAAAAAAAAAAAAAAAAAAAGTCCCGCCTGTTATTTTTTTATCCAAGGGCATGTTGTCTGCTTTGGTCTGCACGTAATTAATTCTTTCTTTGTTTTAAATGCAAATTCTTTTATTGAAGCTATTCAAGATATTTAGAGATTTTGCCTTTGTCTCCTCAGAGTATCCTTAATGTCATTCCCTGAAGATGCAGATTTTTCTCCTGTTCAATCTGGAATAACCGTCTTCTATATTTTTAACCTTAGCCAGGATTAGAACTAGCTGATCGCCTGGTAGTAAACACTCCAGAATTGGCCTGCCTGTCACCCACATTTCCAGAAGCCAGGAAGCTTTTAAGCCTAGCATGTATCATTTGAATTGCTTTCGGTTCAGCCTTCCAATTTTCTGAGAATTTGAATTTGTAAATTTGCAAACCCACATTTTTGTTAGTTTTGGATCCTGGTTCTGCCTGCGACTCTCTGAGCACCCGGATAAAAGTGCTCGCTGCTGTCCGGCAGCCTCGCATCACACACAGGAAGTTATCCGTGCAGTGACAGCCGTTTGCTTTAGACTGTGATGTTGAGTATGAAATGTCATTTTTTTTTGTTTTGTTTCATTATTTTTAGCATCTTTATTGGAGTATAATTGCTTTACAGTGTTGTGTTAGTTTCTGCTGTATCACAGACTGAATCAGCTATACATACACATACATCCCCATATCCCCTCCCTATTGCGTCTCCCTCCCACTCTTCGTATCCCACCCCTCTGGGTGGTCGCAAAGCACCGAGCTGATCTCCCTGTGTCATGCAGCTGCTTCCCACTAGCTATCTATCTTACATTTGGTAGTGTATATATGTCTGTGCTACTCTCTCACTTCGTCTCAGCTTACCCTTCCCCCTCCCCGTGTCCTCAAGTCCATTCTTTACATCTGTGTCTTTATTCCTGTCCTGCGCCTAGGTTCATCAGAACCTTTTTTTTTTTAGGTTCCATATATATGTGTTAGCATACGGTATTTGTTTTTCTCTTTCTGACTTACTTCACTCTGTATGACAGACTCTAGGTCCAGCCACCTCACTACAAATAACTCCATTTCATTTCTTTTTATGACTGAGTAATATTTCTTGTATATATGTGCCACATTTTCTTTATCCATTCATCTGTCGATGGACACTTAGGTTGCTAACATGTCCAGGCTACTGTAAATAGTGCTGCAATGAACATTGTGGTACATGACTCTTTTTGAATTATAGTTTTCTGAGGGTATATGCCCAGTAGTGGGATTGCTGGGTCGCATGGTAGTTCTATTTTTAGTTTTTTAAGGAACCTCTGTACTGTTCTCCATAGTGGCTGTATCAATTTACATTCCCACCAGCAGTGCAAGAGGGTTCCCTTTTCTCCACACCCTCTCCAGCATTTATTGTTTGTAGATTTTTTGATGATGGCCATTCTGACGGGTGTGAGGTGATACCTCATTGTAGTTTTGATCTGCATTTCTCTAATGGTTAGTGATATTGAGCATCTTTTCACGTGTTTGTTGGGAGTCTGTATATCTTCTTTGGAGAAATGTCTATTTAGGTCTTCTGCCCATTTTTGGATTGGGTCGTTTGTTTTTTTTGATATTGAGCTGCTTGTATATTTCGGAGATTAATCCTTTGTCCGTTGCTTCGTTTGCAAATATTTTCTCCCATTCTGAGGGTTGTCTTTTCATCTTGTGTATGGTTTCCTTTGCTGTGCAAAAGCTTTTAAGTTTCATTAGGTCCCAGTTGTTTATTTTTGTTTTTGTTTCCATTTCTCTAGGAGGTGGGTCAAAAAGGATCTTGCTGTGATTTATGTCATACAGTGTTCTGCCTATGTTTTCCTCTAAGAGTTTTATAGTGTCTGGCCTTACATTTAGATCTTCAATTCATTTTGAGTTTATTTTTGTGTATGGTATTAGGAAGTGTTGTAATTTCATTCTGTTACATGTAGCTGTCCAGTTTTCCCAGCACCATTTATTGAAGAGGCTGTCTTTTCTCCATTGTATACTCTTGCCTCCTTTATCAAAGATAAGGTGACCATATGTGCGGGTTTATCTCTAGGCTTTCTATCCTGTTCCATTGATCTATATTTCTGTTTTTGTGCCAGTACCATACTGTCTTGATTACTGTAGCTTTGTAGAATAGTCTGAAGTCCAGGAGCCTGGTTCTTTCAGCTCCGTCTTTCTTTCTCAAGATTGTTTTGGCTTTTCGGGGTCTTTTATGTGAAGTGTTGTTTTACGTTTCCTCCCCACTCTAAGCAAGTTTAGCCTTCTGCATTATTAGATTTTTTTTTTTTGCAGTACACGGGCCTCTCACTGTTGTGGCCTCTCCCATTGTGGAGCACAGGCTCCAGACGCGCAGGCTCAGTGGCCATGGCTCACGGGCCCAGCCGCTCCGCGGCATGAGGGATCTTCCCAGACCGGGGCACAAACCCGCGTCCCCTGCATCGGCAGGCAGACTCTCAACCACTGCGCCACCAGGGAAGCCCTATTAGATTTTTTAAAGAAATTGTAGAGGAGGGTGTAAAAGAAGAAATGAGCAGCACTTTGCTCATTTTGAAAATTAAAGTACAGACTTTTTAAAAAAAATTTTATTTTATATTGGAGTATAGTTGATTTACAACGTTGTATTACTTTCAGGTGTACAGCAAAGTGATTCAGTTATACATATATGTATATCCATTCTTTTTCATATTCTTTTCCCATGTAGGTTACTACAGACTATTGAGTAGAGTTCCCTGTGCTATACAGTGGGTCCTTGTTGATAAAGTCCAAACCTTTTAAATGAAATATCACTTAGTACCGTGACTCCTGCAGCAACATATACAAAGGGATTCCTCCATGTAAAACT